TTACACTTAGTCCTGTTATCTTTGTTCAGGTGTTCATTTTATTCTAACTCAATGTGTTCTGTTTCCAGTTTCTGTCCCTCAAAAACTCTTCTCTGATCAGAGACTATCTTCTTAAAATTTGGCTCTCAGTATAAAACTTCCTGGTTGAATAATCTTCAATGGTCCCCTCTTTGCAAAGGTCTCTAGGATAAAATTCTAACTTTTTATTGCCATGGTTAAATAACAAGGCATAGTGTTCTGTGCATGGACAACGGAGTCAACCAACACTAAGTTTTGAAAGCCACATCTACCACATCTACCACTTACTTACAATGTGGCTATGAGAGTCACTGATACCTCTCTAAGGCTTGCGTTTGTTTGTTTGTTTTAAGGTTTTTGCCATAGAGTGCATGCACATGCCTAAGAGAGACAGAGAGAGACACTGAGAGTGAAAATGAGAAATCACTCCACAGGAGGAATGGCCACACCACAATCCCTTCTCCTCCATTCTCCTCCTGGCATGTTGGGTATGCACGCACATGAGCCTGGTGTAATATTCAAGCCTCCAGGTCTGGGATTTGAACTGCAGCTGATCACGTGGGAGTCCAGTGCTATAACCACCACGCTACCTGCTGACCCCAAGGGGATGAAGGTTTACGGGGGTTTTTGTTTTTATTTTTTGATAAAGGTTTTTGTCTTTGGGCACATGCACCAAAGAGAGAGAGAGACAGAGAACAGTGAGAGGGAAAGTGAGAAATCACCCCCCCACCCCCCAGGGAGGTGGCCATGTCACAATCCCTTCTCCTCCAATTCTCCTCCCTTGATTGTACACACACATACACACAGGGTGAGTTTCAAGCCAACTGGTCCAGGATTCAAGCCATGGTCAGCCATGTGAGAGTCCAGCGACATAATAACTACGTCATCCACTGGTCCCAAGAAAATTTTAAAAAGAATGTGTCTAGCCCTTTGTTCGGTGCACAATAGGAGCTCAATAATTTTCCTCCCATTTTTTCACCCAAACCAGCATTCCACCCTTGATGGTGCTCTGACCCAAGCACTAGGCTCTGTGCTCCCATGGACCTTTACTCATAGTTCATATGGTATTTATTATATTCAGCTCGTATTAAATGTATTGTAAACATATTTAAATATAATGACTTTATCTAGTTAGTTTCCTCCTCTTCTGGTTTAAAATGCCTTGAGGGCACAGTTCTGATCTTCATTTTCATAGCATATTCCATTATGTACTGTGCAGAATAAGAACTCTGCAAATGTCTACTAAATTGTATTTAATTGTATAATTTTACGTAATTAGTCCACATTTTAAAATCAAAAGTTTTTTTTTTTTTTTTGGAGAGGTTTTCGCTATAGGGTGCGTGCGCTCGCCAGACAGAGAGAGACAGAGAGACAGAAAGCGATAAATCACCCCCCAGAGGGGATGGTCACGCCACAATCCCCTCTCCTCCATTCTCCTCTCAGGATCTTGGGCATGCACGCACACGTGCCCGGCGTGAGTTTTAAGCCACCGGGTCCGGGACGTGAACCACGGTCAACTACATGGGAGTCCAGCAACATAGACATTACGCTAACTGCTGGTTCCCTCAAAAGTTTAATGTAAGAATAAAGGGTAGTGGGGGGACCAGCAGGTGGCATGATGGTTAAGGCACTGGACACTCCTAAATGGCTGACCACAGTCCACAGTTCAAATCCCAGACCTAGTGGCTTGCTTTATCACTTTCTCTCTCTCTCTCTCTCTCTCTCGCTCTCTGTGTGTGTGTGTGTGTGTGTGTGTGTGTGTGTGTGTGGTCAAATTAAAATAAATGAAGAAATTAAAAAATTAAAATAATATTTTAGAAAAATAATTAAGGGTAGCAGAAGAGATACATAAGTACCATATATTTTCCTAGCACCAATATAAGCTTTGAAACACGGTGTTCCATAAATTTTGTGAATTGTATCAGACTGAACAGATTGCTTTCTTTAGGCAAATGCAGTCTTCAAAAATGAGTGTTTGTTGGGGCCAACAAGTGGCATGGTGTTTAGGGTGCTAGTTTCCCACAGCTAACCATGGTGTTAAGACCTGGACTGGTGGCTTAAAAATCACAATAAATAAATGGATAAATAAATAAGTAAAAGAGATTTTAGTCAATAAAGATTTGAAGGAGAAGATAGTACCATTTCTTAAGTCTATCAGTACTACCGAAAAAAAAAAAAAATGCAAGATCAGTACTATGGTATTAAATAGTAAAGTTTTTATACTCTAGAATATGAGTTTTAATCTGAGTAAGTATAGGTTTATGTTTCCACCAAAACTAAAACCTGAGAAAATGAGCTTGAATTACTGACAGCACTCTATGGCAGAGACTGAAAGACTGGAGGACACACAAGCATTAAAAATTGTTATGGAAACTAGAGCCAAAGTGGAAAGA